TTATATTTGTTTGGTGGATAACTCAGGATTATGGTAAACTGACATCATTCTTTCTGACTCAACAACTTCTATGTTGTTCAGTTTTTCATTGAATTTACATGATATTAAACCTGTTACTTTCTAACATTCTAATTCTAGATTTTAGTTAGTATTTTATCTAGGTTTTAATTCTAGGTAACATTCTGCGGTAGCAGTAGGTAATTGCCGTTGCCCGTGGTTCTTTAATTTGAGGAAATTGGTACTGGAAAGTCCTTGAAAGGTCCTTGAATTTGGTGCTGGCCTGGGTTTGGGAACCCTGTTTTAATATGTTCTCAGTTTTCTGGTTTTGCAGTCAGGGTGGTATTGATAAAGCTCTCACTGATGTTCCAGACTGTTTTGTTTGTGTGTCCTGAAGGAGTATGTAAAGCCTGTGTTACTGAGGCAGGATGCGGGGGCAGAGGTTGAGGACGACACCACGAGGCAGGTGGCCAGGACTGTCCTCTATCACTGTGTGTCTCTGTCTCTGGCTCTGCTCGCCCCCTTCATGCCCTTCATCACAGAGGAGCTGTGGCAGCGACTCCAGCCCTTCAGACCTGGACCTCCTGGGGATCTGACTCACACCAGCCTGTGTTTACAGCCCTATCCCACATCCACTCATCTGGTAGGACTTTACATCACACCTACCTGGACTGAAACATCATTTTATTACCTGAAGACCTTTGTTTTTGTCTACAGTTTGACTGATTCTCTGTCACAAGAAGGGTTGTGTTCATCATTTTCAAAGTCAAAGGCAGACAATGTTTTTTTTTTAGTTTGACCAAATTGATTCCAACTCTACCATTTCTCATTGATAAGATGATCTTAGTGTAAAACTCTTGGCTAGGCATTTTGTTGCATCACTCCATAATCAGTTTCTTCTGATTCCTATGGCTTATTGAGTGTTATTTGTGTCTTTCCTGTCAGGCACACTGGCATTTCCCTGAGGAGGAAAAAGATTTCCTGATGGTTCAGGAAGTGATTCGAGTGGCTCGCTCACTGCGAGCTCAATGTGGCCCAATAAAAGAAAAGCCTGTCAGTAAGTCAGCAGCTCAGAAATGAAGGCTCCCTCCTGACTGCTAGTTAGCTACATCTGAACCGTAGTTTTAACACGTGAAAAGACTCTGAGGTTTGTTGATGATTACATTTACATCAAAGCAGGTTTTTATGATCACGGTTTGTTTTGTTTCAGTGTGGGCAGTGTGTTCGCCCAGTCAGGCCCAGGTTCTCCTCCACTTTAAGTCAGCAGTTTGGACTTTAAGCCGGATCTCCAGCCTCCAGCTCTACTGTCCTGACGGACCAGACTGGCTCCCGTCTGTCCAGTCCACTCCTCCTCCTAAAGACAGTCTCATTGGTCTGGTGGACCACACGTGTCAGCTGCACCTCTACAGCCCCGTATGTATCAACCTGCTTCTGCAACCCTTGTAAAAAGGATGAAATAACCACTTTTGGAGGCCGTTCTCTCAGTAAAAATCATAGACATTTTATAAAACCTGGTATTAAGAAATGGTCACCATTGCTTATTTTAGATCAGGGGTTCTTAACCTTTTTGACCTCGGGGCCCAATTTATTGAACATAAAGTGGCACGAGGCCCAGTCAGACATTACCAATGTATGGATCAAAATGATAATTATTATAAATCTAAATTTTGGTTTAATTTGTATTGTATTTGCATTGTAACTAAA